GGGGGGGAGGAGGAAGGGGACGACGACAGACCGAAGGAGAATTGAAGAAGGACGAGGAGAAGGTAGTGGAGTAGACGAACCACAAGGAAAAGAACAAGGAGAGGAGGAAAAAGAAAAAGAAGCTCTTGCACAGTACGCTTTCCGACCGTACATGGTACCCGTCAGGTGCGAAAACCAAAAATATTTAGTACATATATACAAGAGACATAGAGAAAAAGCAAGGAGTGCTGGCATTATGAGACCAGCCATCAACAACTACCAGTACAAGGGCTAAGGGAAAACAGTATGAGCGGGGTAGCGATGCTTCACACCCATCGGGGGGAAAAAACCAAGACGCCCGTGTATCTGCCAAGTTTGCGGCCAACTGACCCATAACGGCCAGCGAAAAGGGAAAGCAATTTGTTTCTTTGAGAGAAAGAGAAAGACAGAGTCACGACTAAGGTCATTCAGGGAAGTGAGGAAAGTACTACAGAAAGACCACAGAAATGGGGGAGGACTATAAAGAAGTGGGACCTACCTACCTGTGACACCTAGAAAAGTAGAGAAAGGGGAGGGGGGGCGAGAGGGGTGGAGAGAAGGGGGAGGGAGAGAGAGAGAGTGAGAGACAGACAAGACTGGAGGTTTTTTTGGAATGTACATCAATGGACATCCAACCTGGGATGAACGGGATGCAACATGCCAGCAGACAGACGGAGATATCAAAATATCACATCCCCACGCGAGAATTGAACTCAAGCCGTGCGTCTGTGCCATGGCGAAGGACCGAACACTAAACAATTACACCAGGGGCACCAGAAGAGGAGAGAGAGAGAGAGAGAGAGAGAGAGAGAGAGAGAGAGAGAGAGAGACGGATATCCATGTCATGAGTCAGGTCAGACAATGTGCGCCCAAGGGGTCTGATAAGGTCAGATTATAATGGGATTGTACTGGGTACCGGACAGCTGGGGGTTGGGGTGGAAGGGGGTGCAAACCTGGGCGCACCAACAAAGGGTCTCCTTTACCAAGTCATTTTTTAGGGATCGGTTAATAAACACCACCCCCACCCCCACCCCCCAATACCATTACCAACCAAGTCTAGGCTTGACATATGTTTATTTCGATTAAATCAACCTCCCACCCAAGCGATGAGGTCAGCGATTTTCAGAGGGGCTCATAAGAAATATCTAGTTTCGTTTCGTTTTGATTGTTTTAGTAAAGAGAAGCACATCGACACAATAATGACCATTTAGAGTTGAGAAAAGGTAAGACAGACTGACAGACAAACAGAAACAACAGAGGGAAAGTAAAGAAGTAAGACCTACCAGTGGCGCCCTCCAACTACCTGCTGGAAAAATTCTAGCACTCCTGTAACAAAGTAACAACTCGTAAAATGAAAAATTGCTTGAAGTGTACTTTATTTTATGGGTGTATGGAGGGGGGGG